GACCGTGACTTCTACGGCAGCGATGACGATGTAGCAAACGCCAGTGGAGGCTGGAGTCTGAGGCCTAGGGCCTAGGGCTTACAGCATCTAAGAGTCTATATCCTTCAGTTTGTTGCTTAGGTATTGTGGCTTCGGGTTGAGCACTTAGAAGCGCAGAATTTGTGATCGTGTTTTGGGCAAAGCTAGTCATTCATGACCTCGGGGTCCACCAGCTTTGGTTTTAGGAATGCTGCCGGTAAGGTCAAAGCCCAGAATCCTACACCCCTAGGATTTGCACTCGTCCACGTTGTGAGGTGACTCGTAAGCTTTGTTTCAGTATGCTTGGTGAATTGGGTCAGTGTTTGAGATCTGCCTTCTTCAAGGAATACATGCCGGTGACGCATTTTGGGATTGAAGCAGCACACCGAAATACACTTCGTTGCAGCGAGTTTTGCTCCTGAGCCCTGCACGGCTTTCTTCGGGGGGCTGTTTTTGGTTTAAGTACAGACACCTATCAGATTGATTGTCCTCGTGTTTCTGCTTTTCTTTTTCTTGGCCGGATACTTTATACCATTTATACCCCATACCCCAAACAATACGTATATCCTACTTGCAAAGTCACTACCAAAGCATCTCGTGCTCCAATCTGCTGAAGGCGAGGGCAACTTCAACCGCGAGCTCAACCGGCGGCCCAGGAAGCGTCAGAAGACCGACAAGTCCCGGCCTTCGAAGGCGCCCGTGTGGGAAAGACGGATCTGGTTTAGGGTTTAGGGTTTAGGGTTTAGGGTCTGTGAGTTCAGGATGTTTAGAGGGTCATTGTTGGACATCATTCTCGTTTCTCAGTGTACATACTCTTGGTTGTCCAGGCCGGGATGCCAACATATTTTGAAGAACACCCCGGAACAAACCAGAAAGGGGATCGTCGAATTTCTTCCCGGTCGGGGTCGCCTATTGATAGTTGACTGTCGCATGGTGTTGTGAGTTGCCACTCGACGCTGCATCATACGTGACTTGGCAACCAAAGCAGAAGCCTTCCGCTTACATGATCCCTTCAAACCCCTTTGACTTGAGTAGAACTGGAATAGGGTTTCTTTGGCGGGGTATTGTTAGGTATCACTTGTTGAATGAACATCAAGCGGTTGTCCATTCCTTCACTCCCTATACAGAACCAGGCTGAAGAAAGAGATAATAATAGAATCACCTTATATAACCCTAATATATCACTGTAGCTTCCATTCTCATCTCCATTCTTCCCTATTGCGATAACCTCACTATACTATGGTATCTTCCAGTATAGAATATACAGAACACTAAGCCCTAAACCCTAAAGCAGGAATATTTGCTTGCAACCTGCAGGTTCGCATGCCACAGAATGATAGTCTGGCAGAGAAGATGCGGCGAAGGAACATCGAGTTCGAACTTCGGCGTCTTGGATAATGCAATGTTTTTGAAGCGGTTGAGGATTTAGGATTTGTAAGGGTTGTGGTTTGTGGTTTTATGTTTGAGGGTTAGCAAGGTCTACCGTGCAATGCCTGTCTTTTGCCCCTGCGCCTTTCCCGAAACAATCTTGCTTCCTGAAGGTATGGCAGCCACCGCCATACGACGCGAGCCCTTGAGTCGTTGACCACAGAGCAAGAGGAGCCACAGCCCTCATGCACATAAGCCCTAAATGCCTAAAGCCCTAAACCCCTAAACCCCGAAACCCGAGACCCTAAAGCCCTAAAGCTCTAAGACCTAAACCCCGAAAACCTGAAGCCCTATACCCCTAAACCCTATGAACCCCTGAAGCGACAGGATTCCAGGGCTTGGACATGCCTAGGTCCTCGGTTTAGGGGTTAGGTATTCTCAGGTTTTGTCTTACCTGGGCCGTGCAGGGGAGTTTTCAGTGTCCACATAAGAGCCTTAATCAAACAGTTGTACTAAACTCCCAAAAGACAGCTGCATCAGAGGGTGCGGGTGGGACAGGATTTCAGGCAACTGCCTGCAACGGTCAACATCCAAAGGCTAGAAGTGGGTCGGCCCTCCCACGTTGCTCCATTTCTTGGGGTTTGCCACATTTTTGCCAGGTTTTTCGAGGACCACCAAGAGCACAAAAGCTAAGTCTTCAACCTTAGGGCCCGAACCTTAGCCGGAAACCCTGCAAGCCTCAACTCGCGATCCCTGTGCATATGGGTGGATAACCTCCCAAAGGTGAGAAGTGTGGGGTTGAGTGTCCCCGCTTAGATACTTGATCCCAAAATGCCACCTTCACTTCCTACTAACCACCAGTGAGTATACCGGTAAAGCAGTCCCAGTCCTTACAAAGTAGGTACTTTTCTGGAACGGGTAATGGTGGTTGGTAGGCAGTGCCGGTATAGGAAACAGGGGTGATTAGTAGGAACAGGATCTATTTGGGGGATTGTATAAGGACCTCTATAGAGATCCGTGCTCTGATTTCCAAGCCTTTCGTCCCCAACCCTAAACCCTAAACCCTAAACCCTAAACCCTAAGCCCTAAACCCTAAACCCTAAGTCTCAACCCTACAGGAGCTGCTACAACTGGTCGTCGCGTGCGCGTCCTACCCGAACCTAGCCTTGCCGGGCGAGAACAACAGCGAAAGGCCTTTAGCATTTGGGGTTTGGGATTTAGGATTTAGGGTTTAGGGTTTAGGAGATTCAGAGTTTAGGATTTAGGGGTTTAGGATTTATTGTTCAGGGTTTAGGGCTTGGGCAGCACCAGGGGCTCGGGATTCAGGTTCTATACTGCACAATCCCTGCCCTAGAACCCCTATCTGGGGTTTCCCAGATTTCAGAATAAGGCTTCTAGTACTTCAGGAGTACATTGGGGAACCCATTTTAGTTTATGGTACTTCTCATACATCTCGGGGTTCCCATTTGGATTTCCATTCTCTACCTCCAAAACCTTAACCTCAAGTTTTTGTTCGATTGCGCCTGCAGGATTTTGAGCTGCAGGGTTGGCTTGGGGTAACAAATTGGCTGATTACCAGGACCCTCCTTGTACCCCTAAATTGGGGTATATGGTCCCTAATAGTGGGTACTTAGGCCCTAATAGAGGGTAGAAGGGGGGTCTAGGTAGATTTGGAGGACAGGCTGGCGGGGTTTGTGCGCTGTGTTGATGCTGAAGAACCTACCGTTTCGACGCTGCATACCGTTCTGCGTGTAGCTTGTCACATCAAAGCTCCTGCAAACTCTCGAGTGTAGGTTGCGGAGCGTGTAGGGCATGCTTCTATGGTCTGCGGCAGTGATTTAAACCTCGATAGATGCAGAGGAGAATGGAGGCTGGAAGTAAGAATCTGTTTGGGGACTATGACAGCTTAGGCCGCCCAGGAAATGTGACATGAGCTATAGTCTAATCTCCTTGAACGGGGTTATATAGGGGATTATATAGGGGACTATTGTAGGGGTTATTAAGGGGGATACTAGGAGTTTAGACAATGGCTCATATGAGGTTTGGGGCCGTGCACATACAGAGCCGAGCACATCCTTCCAAAGGTTGCAAAGACTCCTTTGTAGCTGCCTTCTGTCCCAAAGGGTCCATGTAGCTATATAGTACATGCTTGGGCCTTAAAGTAGGTATATGGGAATCCCGATCCCTTTGAGCCCTAAGTATATACCATATACCTACATGGACCCTTTGGGTGTGCGAGTGTCGGCTTGAAAAGCTCTCCCTCAGGTGGTTCCGGGGCTTTTGAAACACTGGGTCCTCGACGTGACAAGCAGGTAGGTATTGTGGCATGTCTACACGACATAAACCCAAAACCCCAAACCGTAACCAGTAGTTTCCATTTTCTTTTCTTTTCCATTATCCCAACATATCACCTATATAAGAATTTGGAAGAGGAGTACAGGCACGCAGACCCAAAGTATGCTGCTTGCACTTGATTTATTGATTCGCTTGATTCTCTCTCAGACCGAGTGCTATGCAGCATCTAAACGTAGGAGCAGTAGTAGAAATGAGAATAGTAGTGATGATAGTGATCACAACACTTGTAATAGCAAATATGGCCATTTGCACTGGACTGCTTGAGGTGCGCTGCAGAATGCGTTTTCCACACGCAGCAGGTTCCCTTTGCGCCTCGGTCGGGGTAAGACCTCGGTGACTGGGGATCGTTTGTATTTGAGACTTCCCCAAAATTAGGAGTACCTTTTTAGGGGGTCCCATAATGAGGATTCATACTGGGCTCCCCTATTTAAGGAATCCACCACATGTCGGCATCTTCATAATACACAGGAAATCACACTATAAGTTAAACATTGATCATGTGCGCATCTGTGCCTAGTGGCACAAAAGCGCCATGTCTTCGGCGGCTGAGTTGATACTAGTCTTGCCAACATTCCTTTTGGGTAGATATTGAGACGGAGCCGTATGTTAATGGGAGCCCCCAACAAAGACCACACTTTGAACAACTGCCTACATAGGTTCAGGCTTCCAGTTTCGAACCTTTGGGCTTTGGGGTTTCAAAGCTTGGGGCCCTTCGCTCCCTCAGGTTTAATGCAATGAGGAACAATTTTGGCTATTCCCACAGCCAAAATTACGACCGACGACTGTCATGCGACTCCTAGACTACTGGGTAGGTCAGGGGACTTAGTAAGTAGGTTCAGAACCCCTATAACCCATATCGTAACCATACTTATCCCCATTATTAACCTACTTACTAAGTCCCCCCGACCCTCCAAGTAGTGTCCTCCTTTTAGGGGTTGTAGTTGGATACCGACATCCCCCTTATTGATTCATAAGCGTTGGGTCTGGGTACTGCCCCCACCCAGTAACAGTGTATATTAGGGGTCCTATTCAGGGCTAGATATACCTATGTTATATTTATTATCCAACTGTTACTGAGGGGGGCAGTACCCAGGGTGTAGGGTTTAGGGTTTAGGGTGTGGGGTTTAGGGCTTACGGTTTGGGGTTTAGGGTTGAGGGGTTAGGGTTGGGGCTTAGGGTTGGGGCTTAGGGCTTATGGTTTCAGGCCTAGGATTTAGCACACAGGCCTCAGGGTTTAGGGTTTAGCTTTCATGTTCCAGGAGCTATCGCTGGACTTCCGGATCAAACTTGCTCAGCTGCCCCTAGTCTCAATGAACTGCTGGCTTCCAAAATATGGGGACCCCGTTTTGTGCGTCCATGTGACAATGCTGAAAGGGTATTGATCCCTATATTCGGGCCTCAGTCTGTGTAAACCCTAAAGCTCTCAGACCTACATGGGTGGATGTTAAAATGATGGTCCCTTTTTGGGTACCCTAAATTTTAGGTGCCGTATTATAATAGGGATCCAAAAAGGGACCATAATTTTGACAACTACCCACATCAGACCAGCGGCAGTCGTGGGGATTTGGTGTTTCAACACAGAAGAGCTTGATTCAGTGGGCTTGGCACTTAGGGTTTAGTATTTGCGGTTTAGGATTTGTGTCAGGGGGTGTCGAGCTAGAAGTAATTTCGCGCGCGGCGAACTTGTAATGCGTCTTGACTTTGTCAAGGGCCATGCTGGGGTTGGGAGTTTTTGAGCGACAAGGGTCGCTGGTGAGGCCGTTTGGGTCGTAAGAGATCCTGTGCCACTTGTTGATGGATTCGGGTAGCCTTCAGATCCCTCTGCTCGCATCTGACTTCTGCCCTTCGAATGTTGCAGGGAGAGCGAACTTCAAACCATAACCCTAAATCCTAAACCCCACGCATATCTACTACCTACACATACATATCTGAAACCTAAACCATAAAAACCCCATCGTCGTGCAGGTAGGATTCCAGAAGCCCCAAAGCCTAAACCTTCAACCCTAAGGGGTGCAGTCCAGTCCCCCTGAAGTAGATAGAATATGGGGTACATGGGGATCTTTTTAGAATATACCCAAAGCCGTATTCTATCTACTGAAGGGACAATGTTTATTTCACATGCAAGAGAATCCTCAGATCATTTCAGTCCTTGACAGGTATTGGTGTGAATTGGCTCCTCTGTGGTCGGCTCCAAACTCCTAAGCCCCTGTTCGTTTCACTTACCATGGAGTTAGTAAGGAGGGTTTAGGGCTCAGGGTTTAGGGGGAATAAGGGAATATGTTATGTTGGGAATGTAGGGATTAAGCGGGGATCATATTCTCCTATTTCCTACTAAGCAGCAGTAGTTTGCCCCTTGCTCTTGAAGCCCAAGCGTCAAGACTTCTGGTCCAAACTCTAAGTGGTGCCCAAGCCCTAAATACCCTAAACCCAAAACCCTAATACCAAAACCTAAACCCAAAACCCAAAACCCTAAACCAGCCCAAGCCCTAAAGCGGATCACGGCTTTGGGCTTCCTAAGTTTCCAGCCTCAACCATTCCCGCATTATCCGGGAATCCGGAACCTCACATCAGCTGTAAATAGTAATCCCCTCCCCCTACTGTAATATTAAAACCACCCCCCCCCTCTCCTGGAATTGGATACACGCTATTTTGTAATATGCCACATAATGGGAGTACTTAATATGAAGGAGGTTGGGGGGTTTGATATTAGGAGAGGGGATTACCTACAATATGAAGCTACGCAGTAACTTGAGCCTCCAGGGTTAAACTTAGAAGCCTGATCCCTGTGCCGGATGATAACAAGCTTCCCCTCTCCCCCCGGGCGTAAGTACCTACTGTTGTGGGCCATATATCCCCTAAACCCTAAACTCTAAACCCTAAACCTTAAACCCTAAACCCTAAACTCTAAACCCTAAACACCCTAAACCCCCAAACCCAAGGAGGGATACCACGAGGGTCGTGGTAAGCTTACTTTGCTGTCTACGCGGTTTAGGCTTTACGTTGGGTACTGCCCCCACCCAGTAACAGTCTATATTAGGGGTCCTATTATAGGCTATATATAACCATATTTTAATTACTATCCGACTGTTACTGAGGGGGGGCAGTACCCAAGCTTTACGTCTAGAGGCGAGCCAAAGGGGGCTATGTGGTGGGAATACAAAAGGTACATGGGGGCTTTTGGGGTTTGGGGTTAAGACATTCATTTGGTAAAAGGCTTGTAAGCTGTACTGCACCTGACGCAATGGTTCTCTTTTCGCACGCGCCTGCTCCATCTGACCGGAAATCGTCTTTTTCAGAGCTTGAAATTACTTTGGTTTAGACACGTTTTAGGCGAATTTCAGGACGTCTTGCATGTATGGGCATACTCTCTTGGAATACGAAACGTTATTCTGGTTTGGGCATGGATGCTCTGCTGACCGTATGCTCTTGGAACACGAACGTTGTTCTTGTTTGGCCATGGATGCTCTGGTGAACGTATGCTCTTGGAACAGGAACGTTATCATGGTTTGGGCATGGATGCTCTGGTGATCCGAAGCTCTCGCCACTTTCTTTGTCATTGAATTGAGTTGTCGTTTACTGCGTCATGGCCACGCGGCCTGGGCATGTCTATGAAGATTCTTCGGCTCACTGCACGCATCTTGAAAACTTGCATGATGACTCTCTGAAAACCAATTGGCTGAAACTACTCCGTACCCTCCATGAGATGACGATCGAGGCAACCGGCAGGACATCGTCAAGCGCTGACACCAGAAGCCCTGAAGCCGAGGACGAAAGTGTCCAAGTCCCGAACGCGATGCCCTCGAAGTGCCTCGAAGTCTCCAAGGCGAAGCCTTGAACACCACAAAACCGTGGAAAACCACCTTCCAAATCGAAAAAGCCAAAGTCATACTTGCCTAAAGACGTTCAAAACCCCGCCGAAAATGCAAAAAGTGTTCAAACTACCACGGTAAAATATGACACTCTCTTCAACTACTTAGACCCTCCTCCTACCCTTTATTAAGGCCTAAGTACCTAGTAATCACTTCCTCATATTAATA